GAGTTCCCAGGATGCCCTCTCCTCCAGGGTGTCTTCCTGGAGTTCCCCACAAACAACATCCTACTGCAGTCATCCTTGTAGCAGCTGAAAACTCAGACCCCACATTTGGAGCCCACACAAACACTTGTGGTTTCTTCATTTTTCTCTCACTGCTGTCAACTTCCTCATCAGCCCCCACTCTCCTGGTAGCGTGGGATGAATGTAAACTTGACAACAAAAAAGCCTCTCTCTTCTAGTTTTTATTTATTTTGGAATAAGTTTTCAAGTGTGGCTCCTGGGTGGCACGGGCTCCCTCCTCCCATTCCTACTTGCCATGTTGCCCGAGGTGGGGTCTGTTCAACAAATTGCCCACTGGCTCCTGGCGATGGTGGCGACCCCTTGCTGGGTCCATTGGGTGGCGCATCCAAAGGACTTTGGGTGCCCAGCTGAGCACTCAGCACCCCATTCCACTGGCACGAGGCACGGTCATGACCCCTCACCCTCACTCCTGGCAGCGACCCACCCCTGAGCTGTCGTGTGGGCTCCTTCCTCCCTGTGGCTGGCCTCACAGTGGGCTCTCCAGATGACCTCTCCTTCTTTACCATCCAAGACTTTCTCTGCCCTCAAGAAACCTTGGATGGCCACTGTGCCAACCGCAGTGTTATAGGAAACGGCTTGTGCTACGGACCGGGCAGGGGAGGGGGATTTTCACCCTCCTCTCTCTCCCTGGGCTGCTCTGCCATATCCAGTCTACCAACAGGGGCTTGCTTCTGTCAGCCCCCCAGGCCCAGTCCCAGTATTCTACGGTCCGGGAATTCTACCATCCCTTACCTGTTTATTTCCAGACACCTGGTCTTCCTGCTCTGCCTTTGCCTCCCCAGCGCCCCCTGCAGGAACTGGAAGGAATGGGTTCTAGTTCCCTTTCGGGCCTGGCCGTGGGGACTGCGCGCCACTCTGTGCCCTGGGCTTTCTTGAAGTGTCACTCACCTTCTTCCCCAAATGGCAGCGGGCCCCAGTGTTTATAAGGGGGCTCTCAGAGAGGCCTGGGAGGGTGAGGAGGGTCTAGACTGTGTTCTCACTCAGGTGATTCAAAAGAGAACATTCTCCCAAAACGTGCAGCAATGGGGAGTGACCACGGATACTAGATTATTATGGAAATACAGCCAGTCGTATGTGATGTCCACGGTCCATCTTTCTGCAGGTGGAGCAGTGTAAGTTCAAGGCCGCTCACCCTGAGTGGGCTTCGGCTGCCCGGGGGCCACACTGCACTTCCTTCCTCCTGCATTTGCCCGCCCACTCCCCAAGTGTTCTTGCTTCTCTTCAGTCCCTGCCACCTCCCCCTCCATCCCCACTCTCAGCCTTTATTCTTGCCTCCTACTTCCCAGAGTAAATGGAACAGCCCGGGAGAACTTCCTTCCAGGGCTGTAGGACCACACAGCTGCCCCCTCCCCTGCACTGGGACCGCAGTGCTTGCGGCCAAGGAGAGCCCTCCCCTTAGTTCAGCAGCCCTGGCCCCAGCAGCGCGCCCCCCTCCTCTGCCACCAGTTTTCCTTGTCTCCTGCATCATTCCCATTTTTATATAACACATTGAAAAAAAAAAAAAAAACAAAAAAAAAAACACCCGTCTCTTCCCTTCCCGTTCCCTCCAACTGCCACCCCCTGGCTCTGCACCCCCTCAGCAACCTTCTGAGAAGCCTGCCTATCTTTGGGCTCCCATTCCTCCTTCCCCTCCTCTCTTGGGCCCACCACCCCATCGGGCTCTGGCACCCACCTCTCCGCCCACCCTGCTTTGGCCGAGGTCCCAGTGACCTCCCTGCAGCCCCACGCACCAGAGCGCTTCAGTCCCGGTCTTGCCCGGCCCGAGGGCAGCCTGGGTGAGTGCCCGCCCCTCCCCTGTCCGGCTCGCTCTGCAGGCGTCGCACTCCACTCCCCACTGCTCACCTCCGGCCGCCCCAGCGTCTCTTGCTCAGTCTCCCTGGCTGGTGGTCCTTTTGCTGCCTGACCTCCTGGCTCAGTCCTTGGGTCTCTTCTCTGTCTCCACTCACCTCCTTGTGGTCTGATCCACAGCCCACTGTGCTGGGCGGTAAGTGCTGCCTCTCTGATGAGGACTGTCACATTCTCATCTCTAGCCTGGCTTCAAGTATGTACTGGCCTGCTTCCCTTAGTAGCTTTCCTCTGCAAACCTGACAGGTTCAAAGCCAAATTCCTAATTCAATCCACTGGTCTCAGCTTGGTCCCCAGAGGCTGATCCTGAGACAAGAATGGAAATATGAGTGGCTTATGGGGGTGATCCCCGGGGGGAGTTGGGGATTAGATAGAGAGAAGAAGTCAGACAGCCAATAAAGCAAGTTACCTCTGGGAGCAACTGAGGTGCAACCTCCCTGGGAGCTCCGAGAGCTGACCCCCACCCAGGTGGAGGGCGCAGGGTCATTGGTGGAGGCTGCTCCGGGGGTGTTGAGCTGGAACTTCTGGCCCACCCTTCCTGCAGGCAGAGCCAGGAACCCCAGGCAGAGCCTCCGTGCTGCCCCTCAAATACTGCCTGCCTGGACAAGGGCCGAGGTGGGCACGATGGGGTCTGCTGTCCCCACCAGCTCCTTCTCCGTCCTCCTCACCTTAGTAAATGGCGGCCCCATTCACCCTTCCAGCACTCAGCGCAGGAGACTTGGGTCAGCCTTGACACCACTCTCACACCCACACACACAGCAAGTCCACTTGGCTCCTCCTACAACGTACACCAGAAACCAGGCTTCCTGACTGCACTGGTCTGAGCCCTGTCCCCTTTCACAGCCCCTCGCTGGTGCCCCTGCCTCCATTCCTGCCCCCCCTGCACCCATCCCATTTACTCTCAGCACAGCAGCTGTGAGAGCAAGCCATTGAAAACCCATCAGACCCTTTCTCTGCTCTGCTCAAAACCCTCCAGTGGCCCCCATTTCGGGGTCAAAGCAAAAGTTTTGACAATAGTCCACAAGGCTATTGGGGATCTGCCCCCTGCCTCGGGGAACCTATCCCGTACCACATCTCCCTCCAGCACTCTACTCCAGCCTCAACACCTGCTCCCTGTTCCTTGAACTTACCAAGCACATTCCTATCTCAGGACCTTGAATGCTCTTCCCCCAGATGCCTGGGCAGCCAAGTCCTTCACTTATGGCAGCTCACGTGTTACCTTCTTAGAGGGACATTTCCTGACCTGCCTGTAGAAAATGGCAACCCCCTCCTACCCCCACCTCTGATTACCTACCCCTCTGCTTTTTCTCCCATCACTCTCCAACTTAATATTTACTTACCTATTTGTTTATTTGCTCTCTATCTCCCTCCTGGAGTTCTCTGACCCAGAAAACCCCACCTGCAGTCTTGTCACCCATTCTAGATGGTGTAGTTAGTGAGCTTGTCTAGAATAAGTCATACAGGGGATAAGACATACCTTAAAAGGTGCCACAACGTGATGCCAGACAGACTTGTTCACATTCTGATGATCACACCAGACTTACACACACACACCTACACACACTTACTTACACAGACTTCTCATCACCAGACAATCCCCTGGTGAGAAGGACTTTGGGGTGACCTGGTCCCAGCCGTGCAGTGGTAGGCAGATGACCACCTCTCTGCCCTCCGCTGCCCCACCTATGAGACAGGTTAACAACAGACCTACCTCCAGGCGGTGGGGGAGGTCAGATGGAATGAGGCGTAGAATGGTGCCCGGTATGTAGCCAGTGTTCAGTGGATGTCTCAAGGTAATTGCACACAATATTATTGTTCACCTTCCACGTGCCAGCCCCCAGCCTCTCCCCTCTGTGGAGACCTCTGGAGCTGGTCAGACCTGGCTTCGCGTCCTGCCTGCTTTCTTACCGCGCGGTGCCCCTGAGCCAGCACCATATCTACTCATGCCTCAGTCCTTCCATCTGCAAAGTGGGCCTAATAACGCCAACCTCACGGGGTCCTGTGGGGAAGGGGGCTCTCTTTAATGGTGACTTCTGGTGATCTTAAATGTTTCCTGTTTCTTCTAGTTTCCTTCTAGGACACCTCCCCTACTTTTGGAAAAAGGATGAGGTTTGTGGCCGCGTGCTCCAAGATGTGTTTTTGGACTGGTGGGTCCTAGTTGTCGTTTGTTGCCCTTACTCCAGCCCAGGTCCCTCATGGGGCAGCCCCCCTCCATGTCCCAGGCCAGCACACACACTCCCCCCTCCCAGGCCAGGTCACTGCCACCCCCAAAGTTCCTCCTCTGAGTGGAGAGTCAGAAGAGACTGGCTCAGAGACAAGTTCTGCCTTTCTCCAGCTGTGTGACCTGAGACTAGCCATCAGAAACTCTGAGCCTCAGTTTCTTCATCTGTAAGCCCGGTGTGGGGTGTGACTCAGTAACAGTCAGTGTATGCGGTGTTTTACACTTGCCAAAGCATTTTCAAAGACACCATCTGGCTTGATTCCCAGAAAAGGAGTGTAGCAACCCTATTTCATGGATGTGGAAACTGAGACCCAGTGGGGGGTGTGATTCAGCACTGAGTCCTGGGGTGGGACACCCTGCTCCTCCTGCTGGGTGGTGATGGTGATATTCACATCTTCCGAAGCTGACAGCCTCCTTTTGGGTCATTTTGGTTTCCAGGGCTAAGAAGTATGGCCCTGTCGTGCGGGTCAACGTCTTCCACAAAACCTCCGTCATTGTCACGAGCCCTGAATCGGTCAAGGTAGGAAGCAGAGTGGATTCCATGGGGAGGGACCTTCCCTTCCCTCGTTGGGGGCATGAAACTCAGCCCCAGGGACTGTAGGAGAAATGTCCCGGAGGCACCAGCATTTGGGCTGGTTTCCCAAGGATCCACAAATGAATGGCATCTTTCTCTCTGACCACCCACCATTTGGGAGTGTGGCCCAGGCGGAGCACACACATTTAGCTCACTCACCTCTCAGCCTTGGTTCCTTCATCTTCAAGGTGGGATCATAACCCCTCTGTCCCCGGGCTATCATGAGAATAAAGATCAATTGATTTATCTCACAAATATTTATATAAACAAATATTTATTTACAAACAAAGGGACAAAAGATACTTAGACATGTACTTCTTTATGTACTTCACGATTATTAACCCATTTAATCCTCACAGGGGTAGAGACTCTCATCAGCCCCGTGTCAGAGATGAGGAAACAGACAGGGAGCTCCAATCGGTCCGTACTAGGTACAGGATGGCACCTGCCATGTGGGTACTAAGAATGGCCATCAGATCATTTACCTTGGAGTTGGCTGAACAGGGCTCAAGTCTGGTGGCTATGCCATCACTCTGGGCCTCTGTTTCCTCATCTGTAAAATAGGGATGATGCCTCTGTGACAGGTGGTTGTCAGCATGAAGCTGAAATAACATGTGTGAGCCACCTAGCCCGTGCCTGGCACACAGCAATTGCTCAATGAATGATGGTGCTTCTGTTCTCACAGTGGGAACTCAGCAGATGTGCAGGGTGATTCTTGGCATGAGAAGGAGAAAATGCAACTTAGGGTCCGTATCAGGAGAAAAGGCTGAACAACCAGGTGTCTCTAAGAAGATGCTAAAAATAATTTTTTTAATTCAATTTCAAATATAGACACAGTTTAAGATTTTTAAAGCATGCTACCAAAAACCATATACGAAGAACTTCATGACTCTCAACGAGAAAAGTTGAGCCATATATGTTAAATATGATGAATTGCATTGGTTGATAATATTCAAGTGTTAAAACCAACCTTGCATTCCTGGTCATGATACAATTTGCTCATCTTCTGCTAAGAATTTTTGTTTCTATATTTATTATTTTCTTATAACGCCTTTGTCTGGTTTGGGGATCAGTTTAATTGACCTTGTAGGATGAGTCAGGAAAGGTCCCCTCTCCTCTGTTTTCTGAGGGAGTTTGTATGGGGTGGTGTTATTTCTTCCTTGAATGTTTGGTAGGACTCACCAGTGAAGCCGTCTGAGCCTGGCATTTTTTTTGAAGGAAGTGCTTTTTGTTTTGTTTTAATTACTCACTTTCTTTAATTGATTTATGACCACTCCAACTTTCTATTTTTCTTGGGTTTGGTAATTCATGTCTTTCAAGGCATTTTGTCCATTTTGTCTAATTGTTAAAATTATTGGTATAGAGTTGTCCATAATATTTATTGATTAACTTTTTCATGTCTACTGGCTCTGTGGTGATATCCCTTCTTTCATTCCTGCAAACAGTAATTTAGGTTTTTCTCTTATTTTCTTAGTCAGGCTAGCAAAATGTCCATCAATTTTATGTATCTTTTCAAAGAACCAGCTTTTGGTTTTATGGATTTCTCCATTGTTTGTCCATTTTCTATTTTCTTCATTTCTGCTCTTTATTATTTCCTTCTCTACTCACTTTGGATTTAATTTGTTCTTGTGCAAATTTTGTAAGGTGGGAGTTTAAACACTTGATTTTATACCTTTCTTCTTTTCTAATATAAGCACTTACAGCCATATATCTCCATATATCTCATATATCTCCAGATATCTCTGTATATCTTCATATATCTCATATATAGCACAGATGTAACATACATTTCAATATGTTGTGCTTTTATTTTCATTTGGTTCAAAACAGTTTCTAACTTCCCTTGTGATTTCCTGTTTGATTCATGGATTATTTAGATGTATGTTGCTCAATTTCTAAATATTATGGTATTTCCAAATATCTTTTGTTATTGATTTCTAGTTTAATTCCGTGAAGTCAGAGAAAATACTCTTCATGATTTCAATCCACCTAAACAAATTGAAGCTTGTTTTATGACCTACTAAATGGTCTATCTTGGTAAATGTTTATGAGCACTTAAAAAGAATGTATATTCGGTGATTGTTGAATGGAATGTTTTAGAAATGTCAGTTAGGAGTTGGTTGATAGTGTTAGCTGAATCTTCTAAGTCCTCATCTAATTTTCTGTATAGTTGTTCTAGCAATTACTTGGAGAGGAATGTCAAACTCTGACCACAATCATGGGTTTTTCTTTCCTTTTTTTTTTTAGAGACTTTATTTATTTATTTATTTGACAGAGATAGAGAGAGAGAGAGAGAGCGAGAGAGAGAGCGAGAGAGGGAACACAAGCAGGCGGAGTGGGAGAGGGAGAAACAGGGCTCCCGCGGAGCAGGGAGCCCGATGTGGGGCTTGATCCCAGGACCCTGGGATCATGACCTGAGCTGAAGGCAGACGCTTAATGACTGAGCCACCCAGGCACCCCAATCATGGGTTTTTCTATTTCTGCTTTTGTTTCTATCAATTTTGATTCATATATTTTGAAGTTCTATTATTAGGCGTGCACACATTTAGGACTGATATGTCTTTGTGATGAATTGACCCCTTTATCTTTAGAAATGTCCCCCTTTATCCTTGGTAATATTCCATTTCTTGAAGGACATTTTGTCTAGTATTAATGTAGCCTCTCCAGCTGTCTTCTGCTTAGTGTTGAATGGTATGTCTTTTGCCATCCTTTTACTTTTAACCCATTTGGGTTTTTATATTTAAAGTGGGTTTTGTATAGATAACATATAGTTGGGTCTTGCTGTTTTACAGTCTGACAATCTCTGCCTTTTAATTGAAGGGCTTAGGTTATTTATATTTAATGTAATTATTGATATGGTGAGGTTTAAATCTCACTGTTCTTTGTTCTCTGTCCTGTCTGTTGTTTGTCCCCCTCTCCTCCTTTCTTGCCTTCTTTTGGATGGAGTATGTTTTAGTATTCCATTTTATCTCCACCACGTGCTTAGTGGTTGTCCTAGGAATTATAGTACAATCTTTACCTTATATCAGTCTATCTTCAAATAATATACTACTTCATCTCTGTCTACTTTCAAGATTTTCTCTTTATCACTGGTGTCAGAAATTTGATTATGATCTGCCTTGGCATACTTTTCTTTTTGTTAATGCTCTGTAGGAGTCCTTGAACTTCTTGGATACGTGGGTTCCTTGAGCATGTTTGCAATATTTGTAATAAATGTGTTAAAGTTCCTGTCTGCAAATTCCATCCTCTCTGTTATTTCTGGGCCTGGTTATCGGTAGAATTTTCTGCTCTTTGGTATGTCTAGTGATTGCATGTTGGACCCTGGGCATTGTGAGTTGTATATTGTTGAGTGCTCACTCTTGTTTCATTCCTTTAAAGGGTGCTGGAATTCATTCTGGAAGATGGTAAAGTTGCCTGTGGATAAGTTTGATCCTTTCCAGGTTTGCTTTAAGGCTTTTATAGGGTTGGTCTTGGGTCAACTTTTACTCTAGAGCTAGTTTAGCCCCACTACTAAGGAGTGAGCCTTCTGGGGACCACATAAAGGCCTTATGTTTGAGGTTTAACTCGGGCCAGTGGGAATTTGAACAGTTCTTGGCCTGCGTAAGCTCTGAGAATTGTTCAGCCTGTAGTTACTCAGTGATTCTCCTTTTCCTAGAAGTTTTTAACTCGGTCTTGTGTTCACTGTACGCATGCACAGGTTGGTATTCATCCAAAGATGTAGGGGATCCCTATGCAGAGTTCTGCACAGGAGCTCTTTATATGCATAGCCCCCTCCCCTCAGGTTCTCTGCCTTACAAATTCTAGCCTCCTCTGGCCTGTCTGGACGCTGATTTCTGTCTCATCAACTTGGAAAGCCTGCTGGGATGTACCTGAGTTTTATCTTCTAGTGCCTTTATCCTGAAATTGTAGAAAGCTGGAGTAATCTTAGGTCATAGGGCTCACATCTTTTTTTTTTTTTTCTTTTCCTTCGCTTAGGATTCATAATCCAGCACCTCCTCTTGTCTAGTGTCTGAAAACGGACATTTCATGCATTTTGCCTTTTTTTTTTTTTTTTTTTATTGCTTATGGCAAGAGGGCAAGTCCCCAGCAGTTATCCCTTAATGCGCAGAAGAGTGCTGTCAGTGTGGACAACCAGAGAAGGCAGCGAAGGTGCTGAGGGTGTCCCATGTACCCCTCATGTCCCAGAACCTAGTTCACTGGGCCTTCGAAGGATCCCCACTCCCAGGGACAGCAGGCATGGGGACCCCCAACTATGCGGACACCTGATTGGAGCCTGTTGTGCCTCAGTGTGGGGACTCCTGGGTTTAGGTTGGGAGGGTTGGCACAGACCTTGGACTATTTAGGGATGTTTGAGAGGGACCTGGGAGGTGGGCCTTTATTGTCATAGGGACAGGTAGTGGGTAGTAACGGAAGTTGGTTTATAAATGACAGTGGGTGGGGTGGGTTCTTAGGATGTGGCTCATGATCCAAAGTCAGCCATTTTGGGGGTGTCCTTTCAGCTGAAAAATTGATATTAGAGCCCCAGGCTCAGATCCCAGATACCAGCAGCCCCCGGATTAATGTACAGTAGAGATATCATCTTGCTGCTTCCCAGCGCCCACAGGGTAAAGCTCACTGTACTATAAGGCAGACCTCTGGGATCCAGCCCCCTTGCTGCCCCTCCCCACTTCTCACTCTGCCTGAAGGCGGCATGTGGCCTGGGCTTCTCCTGCCTGGATCACAGCCTTCCCTTTCCTCTGTCCCACGGCGAATTGCCCGGATTCAAATCCTATGTCCACCATTCACCGTGTGTGTGACCTCGGACATTTTAAATCTCAGTTTCTTCATCATATGTAAGATGAGCATAAAAATAGCACCCCCAGCTTAGGGCTGACTGGGCACTAAGTGAGCTAGAGGATGCAGATGTGCACCTGACATTTATGGAGCACCTGCTGTGTCTCAGTGTTCTTAGACTTTTCACGTAGGACAAATTTACTCTTCACAGCAACCTGCCCAGGCAGGCACTCTTCTTAACCCCATCATGTGAGATGAGGAAGCTGAAGGCAGAGGAGATGAGTAACTTGCCTATGGTCATAAAGTTAGCAAGTGGTGGAGCGAAGATGCTGAGCCTGGATCAAGCCAGCTGACTCCACAGCCTGAGCTGTTAACCCCTCGGCTATACTGGCTCAAGAGCTGTCAGCTAATGTTACTATTGCTACCATCCAGCTTGTGGTGAGGCAAGTTGATCCTTCCTCCAGGAAGCCTTCCTTGACTTCCATGCCTGGGTTGGCACTAACAATACTGAATCTGTGCCGAGTGTCTCTCCTGTGTCCCAGAAGCCCTCCCTCTGGGCTTCTCCTCTTCCCTACTCTGGATTCAAAGCAGCACCTGCCTTTCCTCGTTCTTGCTGCTTTGGAAGGTGGTGGGTGTGCTGTGAGGTCCGTGCGTGGGCATTGAAGTGAGGATCCCCCACTGCACCACTCCAGCTGTGTGGCCACAGGATATCACTGTGCCCCTCTGTGCCCTGCTTTCCTCATCCCCAAACGAGATGCTGTTGCTTGAAGACAGGGTTTCTGGAGGGTTAGGTGAGATTGTGCTGGATGAAGTACTCACGCCACAGCTGGGACTCAGTTAATGGTGACTGTCAGGGCATTGTTTCACAAGAGTCCAGAAAACTGCTGAGTCCTTTGCAGCCTCTCACGGGTGCATGAGCTCATGTTGGCTTTTTGGGGATGTTTAGAAGTTCCTGATGTCCACCAAGTACAACAAGGACTCCAAGATGTACCACGCAATCCAGACTGTGTTTGGTGAGAGGTAAGGCATGAGGCGAGGCTGGGGGTAGAGGACGGGAAAGCCTCTGGCGGGAGGCAGAGGGCCGCAGGGCCCAGGGCATTGGGCGTAGCATGAGGGCCCGGGCCCAGGCTACCAGGCACACAACAGGTGCCCCATAAATGGTGGCCACTGCTGTTGTCATTGTCACCTTCCTTCTCCTCCTTCCCCTCTGGATAGCAGGGGGCGGGTGAGGGGTTGCAGGGGTGGGGGACATGATCACCCCATTTCTTATTTATTTCTTTTTTATCATGGTAAAATTCACAAAAGTCACCATTTTAACCATGTTGGAGTTACAGTTCAGTGACATTTTGTCCATTCACAATATGGTATAATCATCACCACTGTGTAGTTCCAGAACATTTCCACCATCCCAAAAGGTGACCCTGTCCCCATCAAGCCATCAGTCCCCCTTCCCTCCCTGTTTCTCACATCAGACATGTGTCTCCCGCAGACTGTTTGGCCAAGGCTTGGTGTCCGAATGTGACTATGAGCGCTGGCACAAACAGCGCAGGGTCATGGACCTGGCCTTCAGCCGCAGGTGAGTGTATCCAAGATGGCGGGCCTTGGGAAGGGGGCTGAGTTTCACGGGAGGGGGCCTCACCCCACCTGAAGGGTGAGCGGTGAGGGCATCAGTAGTCAGAGACAGCAAGGCAGGCTGCCAGGGACACGGGTCTGAACGTCAGGGACTGAGTGACAGTGATAAATGGGGGTGGGGGGTCTCCCCTCATCACTCCTCCTCTGGGCTTTTCATTTTCCTTATTATAGTTTTCGCTTTTGGTTACATTTTATGTTTTAAATAACTTTTATTGAGGTATGGTTTCCATACCATACAATTCATCACTTACAACTGAATGGGTTTTAGTATATTCAGAAGATTGTACAACCATCACCATAATCCATTTTAGAATACTTTCATCACCCCAAAAAGCAAGCACTCCCTGTTTCCCCTCAGTGGCCTCAGCACCTGGCAACCACTAATCTGCTTTCTGTCTCTATGGATTTTCGTATTCTAGACATTTCTTATAAATGGAATCATACAACATTTCTTTTTGCGCCTGACTTCTTTCACTTAGCATAAGATTTTTGAGGTTCATCCATGCCAAAGCATGTTTCAGAATTTCCTTTTTTATTTATCAAATGAAATTCCATTGTATTGGACATACCACATTTTGCTTACCAATTCGTCAGTTGATAGACATTTGAATTGTTTCCAATTTCTTGGCTCTTTCAACGGATGCTGTTTCCCCAGCTCCTTGGTCAGCTTGATGGAAACGTTCAACGAGAAAGCCGAGCAGCTGGTGGAGATTCTGGAGGCCAAGGCAGATGGGCAGACCCCGGTGTCCATGCAGGATATGCTGACCTGCACCACCATGGACATCCTGGCCAAGGTGATGGGAGGCTGGTGGGCCGTGGGAGCGGGGTCTGACGGGGGTCAGAGGGCTGCTCTTCTCTCTCTCTTCCCTTCCCTTGCGTTCCCCCCCCTCCTCCTCATCCTCCACACATCAACCCCTTCTCTGCATGGGGAACTTCATATCTCCTTGAATATTCAACAGAAACTTGTACGCGATGACGGCTACTAACTCACTCTCTGGGAATGGACCCTGAGAGGTGTGGGGGCCGGCCTGTGTCTAGTCAGTGGCCGAAGCTGGACTGGATCTCAGGTCTCCTTGCCTCCCAGCCCAAAACCTACCTCCCCTCAGCACCTGCCCTGGGTCTGGCTTGGCTCTGCACCCTGGCAGGCTCAGCAGTGGCCCAATAACCAGCCCCCCCACCGGCCTGGATAAGGGCGGTTCAGGCGGCTGGAGTGCAGACACAGTGAAGGGTCATTGTCACCCAGTAATTCATTGGGAGGCTGGGTATAGAAGGGACACCAAGGAAGGCTGCATTTCTGGGGAAATGCATCTTGTCAAGGAAGGAAGCCAAGGTTTGTGGAGTGGCTACTATGTGCTACGTAATCCTCACCATATCCCATGAGGTTGGAACCATCATGGGTCATTATAAGGAGTCAATGACACAATGCATATAAACCCTTAGCCCAGGGCCTGGGTCTCTACCTGAGCAGCGCCAGGTTCTGCCCTGGGTCTTCAAGTCTTCCCATTCCCCCAGGGAAGCCCTTGCCCTTCTCTCTCCCCCAGGCAGCTTTTGGGATGGAGACAGGCATGCTGCTGGGTGCCCAGAAGCCTCTGTCCCGGAAGGTGAAACTCATCCTGGAGGGGATTACTGCATCTCGCAACACTCTGGCGAAGGTACTGCCCCCACACCCCTCCGGTGATCAGAGCTGGCATTGTCCTAATTTGCTGCAGCACCTCCTCTAGTGACCTTTTTTCAGAATGGGTTTTGAGCTCTGGTTATGACTGAAGTGACTCCTGAATCAGTTAGGATTTGCATACATCACCTAGTGTAGAGAATCAAAATCAAAGTGGTTTAAGTAAATTAGGAGTTAATCTTCCTCTCATGTAAAATCATCCTGAAGCCGGCAGTCTAGGAGGGCTGTGCTAGGGCCACAATGTCAGATGTTCCTGGAATTTTTTGTCTTTCTGTTCTGCTGTCTCCAGCGTATCACCTCATTGTTATAAGATAGCTGCTGCAGCTCCAGCTATCACCTCCTTGTTCCAGGCATGAAGGAAGAAGGGAGAGAGGTGGTACTTGAGTTGATCCTCAGACGCCCAGGGCCTCTTCCTGTTCCCTGGGACTTCGGCCTCTGAGCTTGGGATCCCCTAATGCCACCCCGTCTTTTCTGCAGTTGATTCTACCTCCCTTCCCTCTGGCTGGGGTTTCCTCCTTCCTTGCAGTCCCTAGCCACCTCCAACCTTCAGGGATCCCTTCTAATTTTCCAAGCACCTTTCCCATCATATCTAGGGATTTGGTACAGGAAAGGGAAGCCAATGCTTGGGCTCCGCCTGCCATGTTGGTCAAATCTTGGCTGCTTTATCTTTTCTAGATATTTCTAGAATTTTCTCACAGTCTTCCCACCTCCCAGCTTGCCAGTGCTGCTGTGGGTTTCTAAAGTCGTTTCGGAGCTGGGGGAGAGGGAGAGGTTGACGCACGTGCTCGGTTGGCGTCCTGAGCGGGAGTTCTTGTTCAGTTTATGCCAGGGAAGTGGAAGCAGGTCCGCGAGATCCGGGAGAGCATCCGCTTTCTGCGTCAGGTTGGCAAGGACTGGGTCCAGCGCCGCCGGGAGGCCCTGAAGAGGGGGGAGGACGTCCCTGCCGACATCCTCACACAGATCCTCAAAGGTTTGAGGGCTCGCACGGGGGCCTTGGGAGGGCCGGGCGGCAGGGGTGCCCCCTGTCATGGTGGCTGATCACACTTGACTCCAGGTGTCTCTATCTGGCTCCCGGGGAGAAGGGCGTTTGCTTCTTCGCTGGGCCGTGGGGCAAGGGAACAAGGGGTATGAGTGTAGCAGGTGTCTGCTGCTGGGCCCTGAGACCCTCCTTGTCTTTCAGCTGAAGAGGGGGCCCAGGACGATGAGATCCTGCTGGACAACTTCGTCACCTTCTTCATTGCTGGTTTGTGGCTCCAGGGGTGGCCAAGGGCTCAAGGCTTTGCAGAAATGGTGGGAACCAGGCATCCCCTCAGACCTGACTCTGGGCGAGGTTTCAAGTTGTCTGCGTGGAGTTCTGCTGCAGAAGTGAGGGGCTGGAATGGAGGAGCAGAAGGCCTGCCTCTGCTCAGGGAGGTCTGGGAGGTCTTCTCGGTGGCCGCTGACCCGGTGATGGAGCTGGCCACTGTGAGGGGGCGTGAAGCTGCCTTTTTGGGCTCAGGAGAGCTTGGCCATGTAAAGTCAAGGCCCCACCCCCTCAGCATTTATGAGGAGGCCTGCATTAGACCAGCACAAAAAGATGTGCCAGGCAACTTCATTCCTTTGCTCATCAAATTTTTTTTTTTTTAAGATTTTACTTATTTATTTGAGAGAGAGAGCACAAGCAGGGGGAGCAGCAGAGGGAGAGGAAGAAGCAGACTCCCCACTGAGCAGGGAGCCCAACTCGGGGCTTGATCCCAGGACCCTAGGATCATGACCCAAGCTGAAGGCAGACGCTTAACTGACTAAGCCACCCAGGCACCCCAGAAGGAGCTTTTAGGGTGTAAAAACCAGATGCCTGGGGGCAAATGCCATTTATTGGGCTACAGTGGCTGGCACAGGGGATCTGTGGGTGGGCAGCCTATCTCCTTCCTATCTGGACACCCAGCTCAGTTGCAGGGGGCAGAAGTGAGGACCTGAACTGCCACCATGGGATCAGAGTCTCAGAGGCAGGTGGGCCGGACCAGCAGCAGCCTGGTAGCCCCATGTAGAACTGCTGCTGTCCTTTCCCGCAGGCCATGAGACCTCTGCCAATCATTTGGCATTCACGGTGATGGAGCTGTCCCGCCAGCCTGAGATCTTGGCAAGGTACAGAAGGGGGAGACTTGGTGGGGGGGGTAGTGGCTCCCCTTGACGCTGGTGAAGGGATTGTCTGCTATCTTGTGCCTCCCACGGCTGAGCCTCCTCCAGGGTGTCCTGCTTCTCTTCACCCCAGGGCCTTTGCACATGCCAATCTCTCTTCTGGAAGCTCCTCTCCCTGCTTTTCTCTTGGAGAACTCCTTGTCCAGCCCTGCAGAAGCCTTCTCACACTCCTAAAGTAGCTATTCTGTGTTTTCCCCTCCTAGGCTCTTCCCAGCTCATGAATGCATTTTTCTCCAGGGCCGGTTTGCTTTGAGTCTATTTCAGTCATGAAACTAGAAGCTCCAAAAAAGCAGGGACCGTGGCTCTTTCCCTCCCCACGCTGTGCTCAGTGCCTGGCCAGGGCCTGGCACTGAGAACTGAACAGAACTCCAACTCAGCATTGAGGAAGGGCTTATCCTCGGCCGGCGAGACAAAGGAGGGTACCCAGGAGACGGCGTTTGAGCTGGGCCATTGGTTTCCTTAAATACAAACGGTTCCCTCGACGACCATTGCACAGACTGACTGCGCCAATGTGAAAGCACTCTGAAAACCCCGACAGGCGTGGGGGCGGGAGGCCCAGAGGTGGGAAAAGCCTTGACTACAGTTGTTAATCAGCAGCGTCCACGGGCAGACATGAATGATTGCTTGCGAGTATAAGATGGTTGGTTGGGGTTTTAAATATATCTATAATACTAATATGCTCTTTATAAAAATTTGGAAAAAGCAGAAAAGTTATAATAATAACAGTAAGTAATAATAATAATAATTCCACCCACGGTGCCCCACCCCTGGAGGCAGTTCACGATTAACTACTGAATTTCACCGTGTGTTTTATCACATTGCCCCACATTATTTATTGTAAACTCTTCTTCCAAATCCCCTTTTTTATATTGTGGATATATACACACACACATACATGCATAAAATTTGCCCCCCCTTTTTTAAAGATTTTATTTATTTGACAGAGAGAGACACAGCGAGAGAGGGAACACAAGCAGGGGGAGTGGGAGAGGGAGAAAGAAGCTTCCCGCGGAGCAGGGAGCCCAATGTGGGGCTCCATCCCAGGACCCTGGGATTGTGACCTGAACCAAAGGCAGACGCTTAATGACTGAGCCACCCAGGCACCCCTAAAATTTGCCATTTTAACCATTTTTGAGGGCATAGTTCAGTGGCATTAAGCACATTCCCATGGCTGTGCAAACACCACCACCATTTCCAGAACTTTCTCATCATTGCGACGGACATTGTCCCCAGTAAACACTAGCTTCCCAACCCCCTCAGCCCCTGGGCCCCCCTCAGCCCCCATTCTACTCTCTGTCTTTATGAATTTAACTCCTCTAGGGACCTCGTATGGGAATCACACAGCAATTGACCTTTTTGTCTGGCTTATCTCACTTAGTATAATGTCTTAAGTTCCATCCATGTTTTAGCAGGTGTCAAGACTTCCCTCCTTTTTAAGACTGAATAATATTCTATCGTATGGTTAGGCCACATTTTTTTATTTTTATTTTTATTTTTATTTATTTTTTTTTAAGTTTTATTTATTTATTTGAGAGAGAGAATGAGAGACAGAGAGTACAAGAGGGAAGAGGGTCAGAGGGAGAAGCAGACTCCCTGCTGAGCAGGGAGCCCGATGTGGGACTCGATCCCGGGACTCCAGGATCATGACCTGAGCCGAAGGCAGTCGCCCAACCAACTGAGCCACCCAGGCGCCCCTAGGCCACATTTTTTTAAAAGATTTTATTTATTTATTTGAGAGTAAGAGTGAATGAGAGAGAGAAGGAGCAGGGGGAGAGGCAGAGAGAGAGGGAGAAGCAGACTCCTCACTGAGCAGGGAGCCTGACATGGGGCTCAACCCTGGGACCCCAGGATCAGGACCTGAGCCGAAGGCAGATGCTTAGACCGCTGAGCCACCCAGGCGCCCCATGGAGAGACCACATTTTGTTGATCTATTCATGTGGTGGTGCACACCGGGGTTGCTTCTGGCCTTCGGCTACTGTGAATGCTGCTGCTGTGAACTTGGGTGTACAGGTATCTAGCTACGAGACCCTACTTTCAATGTGGGGGCGCACACACCCAGAGTGGAATTGCTGGAGCATATGGTAATTCTACATCTCATGTTTTGAGGAACTGCCATCCCATTTTCCATATACAACTGCACCAGGTTCCATTCCCACGGACAATGCACAAGGGTTCCGCTTGCTCCACACCCTTGCTAACGCTTGGTGTGACATTCCTCGTGGGCGTGATGTGGTCCAAATCCACTTTCCGTGCTGCATATTCTTCTAACGGTGCCTGTCTTAACGTTTACTCAGCCGGCATCCCTATGCTCTTTCTGTTTCCCGCTGTCGGCTGCTGTGAGCCAGGCTGAGCCAGGCTGCTCAGCGCAGAGAGCTTGTTTGGTGGTGCGTTTATTTTCTGCAGCCGGTTCCAAGCAGCAAGCACGGAGGGGGAATATTGTAAGGCCCCGGAACGTAATTGCCAACTGCTCAGACATCTCGGCTGCGACGTGGGTTCCTGGATGTCTTCAACAATGGGGCGGGGCGGGCCGTGCGTGCGTGCGTGCGACCGATGGGGTGCCCCAGGCAGCTCTCCACGCTCCCCTCCATCCCTCCTTCCTAAAAGTAGTAGGGGGTGACCTCTCCTTGGGGACGAGCTTGTCTTTATCTGCCCCGACAGGCTGCAGGCGGAGGTGGACGAGGTCATCGGTTCTAAGAGGCACCTGGACTGTGACGACCTGGGGAGACTGCAGTACCTGTCCCAGGTGGGGGGGGGCGGGAGAGAAGCTTCTGGGCGCTTGTGGGTGGTTCGTCAAGCCAGGCCTGCCGCCCCCCTGAACTCTTTCCTATGGGTGTTCTCTAACTTCACTGCACGTGAGAATGTCCCAGGATATTAAAACAAAACAAAACAAAACAAAACAAAACGAAAAAAACTCCCCAGACCGGCAGACCTTGATCCTTGATCGAATGACCAATGGCGCTGTTTGCATTTCCGGGGGAGGCCAGGCGCTTCCAGGAGCCTCAAGCTGGCCACCAGGGGCCAGACTCAGCGGCCCCCTCCCGTCCCTGACAAAGCACAGCAGGAGGCCTGGCTTGAGCTGGGGAAGGGCTCCTCCGGGATGGTGGTGCCCTGGTTCAGAGGGAGGCCTGGGTCCTGGTCCGGGCTCCACCATGGTGGTTTCTGCACAACCCCCTTCTTTTGGGCCTCAGTTTCTCCTTCTGTGACAGGAGGGGTTGGACAAGAAGATGAGGCTAACTTGGCGGGGGTCTGGGACCCGGTCCTGGATGTGGGAGCAAAGTTGGGTCTGGGGCACACCACTGGCACGTTCTGGGGGGATCTCCTGACTTCTCTCCTTGTCTCCCCGTGTGGCTTCTGTAGGTTCTCAAAGAGTCGCTGAGGCTGTACCCCCCAGCGTGGGGCACCTTTCGCCTGCTGGAGGAGGAGACCTTGATTGACGGGGTCAGAGTGCCCGGAAACACCCCGCTCCTGGTGTGTGGGGGCCCTCCCTGCCTGCCCCCAGGGTGACCGAGCTCTGAGGTCGGGACGTCCGTGGCCCCGTTGTCACCACTGGGGTTCCTCATTCAAGTTGCACCATGACACTGTGAGGTCTTTCTTCCCTTTCACACTGGTGTAAGGTTACAGTGGATGACTCTGGGAGGGAGGCACCCTGTTTACATCTGAGGACACCAAGGCTCAGAGAGGTTAGGTCACTTTCCTGAGGTCACGTAGCGGGCTGGGGGCAGATACAAGATATGCCCAGTTTCACAGCTGGCCCCAGGCTGTTCAATTCCTTTTGTCTCCCCTCCACAGCCCCTTCTCCCACGGAGGGTGACTTCCCCCCCCTTTACTTGTTTCTTTCTCTCTCTCTCTCTCTCTTTTTTTTTTTTGAGAGCGCGAGCAGAGGGGTGGGGAGGGGCAGAGGCAGAGGGAGAGAAGAATCTTAAGCAGGCTCCATGCTGAGCACAGAGCCCAAGCGGGGCTTGATCTCACGACCCTGAGATCATGACCTGAGCCAAAATCAAGATTCAGACTCTCAACCGACTGAGCCACTTGGGCGCCCCTACTTGTTTCTTTGTTTACACATGCATTCATTTATTCCCTCATCGGGCATCCCTTCATGCACAGTGACTCCTGGAAAGCCACCCCCAAACTAGAAATGTGTCCCTGTCCAGCTTCCCTCCAGAAGCAATCACTGTCCTGAATTTTGTGCTTGCCACTGCCTCACCTTTTTGTGCATGCGTGCATGTGTGCGTGCGTGCGTGTATGCCCACGAGGTAATATGTCCCAGGATTGCTTTGTGACTGCAGGCCCTCGGTTCACTGCTGTATCATATTCTGCTGTGTGGGGACCACCACCCCGTTTTCGATCCTGGGTCAGTGGGCATCCGAGAGGTGCCCCGTTTCCTGCTCTCCTGAGTGCTGCTGCCACTGTTCCTGTCTGCGTGACCGGTGGACGGTGCAGACAGGCGCGAGGGCTGGGGTGTGGGATAGCTGAATGATTAGTGTGGTAATTTGGTAGCACCAAAATGTTTTCCAGAGCACCCGTGCCAACCTGGACTCCCACCAACGGGGTTCCTTATCTTCCCCAACACCTAATATGGCCCAGCTTCTTATTTTTTGCAATTGAACAAGTGCAAGGAAGGTACTTCTCTGTGGTCTTGATTTGCACTTTCCTGGTTAGTTCCCAGTGGGGCTCATGCCCCCGTGCTACTTTTCTCCTTCTGGGCTGTCTCCTGGCTCTGCAGTGCTTCTGTAAAAATTCGTATGTTAATCCTTTGTCAGGTATGTGGGTTGCAAATGTCGTCCTTAGGTTTGTGGATTCTCTTTGTTAAAGCCTTTTCAATGATCTGCAGTTCTTAAGTTTGTAATGGTCCCTTCTCTTGTCTTAGGGAACCCACCCCCCCCGCCCCCATCCTGAGGTCAGCATTGTCGCTTACATTGTCTTCTAACAATTTCACACTTTTCTTTTGCAAGTTAAGTTCGAATCCACCTGGAGTTGACTTTGCGTATAGTGTGAGGTAGGGGTCTGGTTTTGTTTCCTGGGGCTGCCAGAACAAAGCACCACAGATGGGGCGCTTAGCAGTGGAAATGTACTTTCTTACAGTTCTAGAGGCTGCGGTTCCGAGATCGAGGTGCTGGCAGGGTTAGTGTCTCCTGAGGCCTCTCTCCTTGGTTTGCAGACGCCACCTTCTGGCCGTGCCCTCCCAAGACCTCTTCTGTGTGGGTCTGTGCTAATCTCCTCTTCTTCTGAGGACACGAGCCAGACTGGAGTAGGGTCCGCCCTAATGACCTCATTATGACTTTATTATCTCTTTAAGGAGACTGTCTTGGAATACAGTCCCATTCTGAGGTTAGGACTTTAACATAGGAATTTTAGGGGGACACAGTTCAGCCCATGGCATGACCCATTTTTATCCACAAAGGAAAGCGACATGCTTCTGGCTCTATCAGGCAGCCCCCTCCCCGATCCTGCCCCACCTGGGCTTCCCAGGACTCTGCTACGCCCTCTCCAGCTTATATCAGGGTGTGTTCTTTATCCTGTTTATCTGCTCCCCTTTTTTGCTTATTAACACTCCTGCACCAGTTCCGCCTGCCTGAGTGACCGGGGTGGTGGTTTAGAACGCCCTCACGTCTGGCTGGGCAGGTGTGCAGCTGTGTGGGCCACGAGTGGGCAGACCTCGGTTCCGGCGCCGGCTCTGGCAGGCTGGGTCATCTCTGGGTCTCGGTGCCCTCCTTGTAAGATGATGCCTGAGTCACAGTTGACTGAGAAGAGTCGAAGAATAATGTAGTCACGTGTCTGGCCAAATCCCCTATAGCACACAGTAGGCGCCTTCGCTGATCTCACACACCTCTCCACCTTAGGCTCCCACCCACTTTTCAGAGCCTCGTTCCAGGCCCTCCCTTCACCCTGCCTGCCCTGGACCCTCAGCACAGAGAACCGGGGGCAGAGGGGGCTCAGGGAGCTCTTTTGTGCAGGAGTAATGAGGCAGAGGTTGAGACCCAGGGCCCGAGTTATGGGGGGCAGGTACGGCCCATGGAGGCCGGGGGCACGGAACATTAACCCCAGTAGGGAGGTGACGTGGCATGCATTGAAAGGCTAGTGGGCCCCCGGGCTCCTCTGCCTCACCCCCTCTCCAGCCCCCGCCCCCCCCACACCCCAGATGTAAGCCTTGTGTCAAATAACAGCTCTCAGAGACCTTGAGGAAGATGCTCTTGAAGCAGACCTGAGTTTGAATCTCAGTTTGGCCACGTACTTGCCGCGGCTGACTTTAGGCAAAGTCATGAACCCCTCTCTGAGCCTCAGTTTTCTCATCTGTAAAATAGGGATCGTTGTAGTCCCCCCACTGCACGGGACCAAGCATGGGATGATGCAGCAGCCAGATGCCCTTGTTGGCACACTGGGCTGTCCCCTTCCTTCCTCTCAGGCACTTTCCAGGAGCCAGTGGAGTCCCACACTGGCCCAGACGGGTGGGTGGAGTAGAGTAGGGGGTGGGCCTCCTCTGCTCCTGGTCACTCCGCTGGGTGGCCGCAGCGGGTCGGGGAGGTGTGAGGGTGACCATGCTGGGAACCAGAGACAAGTGGATCCTCCGCCCCGCAGTTCAGCACCTACGTCATGGGGCGTATGGACACGTACTTTGAGGACCCACTGACTTTCAACCCCGATCGCTTCAGCCCCAAAGCACCCAAGTAAGTCTCTCTTCAAGCTGTGCATGTGGGAGAAGGATGTCCGGTGATCTCTGGTCTGAACGGCCTGTGACCCCTGAGCCCACAGAGCCTTTAGATCACTGTGAGGGAGTTGTTATCCGCACTCTGCCCCCTTTTATGGAGACGAAGTCACAGCTCAGAGAGGTTAGGTAACTTGTCCAAGGGCACGCAGCCAGGAGCCGCAGAGCTGGGGTTGAAGCCAGCTCAGACTGGTTTCAGCACCCATGCTCAGAACCTGTCCCTTGTATTGGGAAGCCCTGCGACTCCCTGGAGGAGCCAGGGACAGCTCCTCCCCCTGCTTGGACGGTCCTCTCTGAGAAATGGGAATCTTGATGGCTCCCTCTGGAGCTCGCTATGGGGGTGAATGCCTGAAAGTACGGGGGGTGGGGTGGCCGGCTCCAGGGACAGGCCACCTGCATCCAGACTCTGCCCAGAACTGGACATGTGATCAGCTGAACATAGAAGTGCCATAGGATCGTGAGCTCCTTAGTTCCTCCTTCTGTGAACTGGGGATAACAACAGCTCCTTCTGGAAGGCTCCAGAGGAGGATAACGTGAGAAAATGCTGATGCAGAGCCTGATGGAGCCAGCTGTTGATGTTTTCAGTGTGTGCAACACCCAGCCCTGGTGCACGGCCATACATCAGCGAGGGATGGGTTTGTCACCGCCGGGGTGGAACTGTGACAGGACTGCCACCTCCTGACTCCTCTCTCCCTGCAGGCCGAGGTTCACCTACTTCCCCTTCTCTCTGGGACCGCGCTCCTGCATCGGGCAGCAGTTTGCTCAGGTAGGAGGCCAGGGCTGGGGCTTCTGCCCGGAGCTGACTTCAGGGGTGGTGTTTCGCCTTGGGCCAGGAGGCATTTCAGAGCCCTGCTCTGGGACCCCTGGCTGGGAGCCGGGGGCCGGGGGCTGGGCCAGCCGGCTGCAGGGTTTCCTGCACATTCACGCCCCGTGCCTCCTGCCCTTCCTCACTTCTGCACACAGATGGAGGTGAAGGTGGTCATGGCCAAGCTGCTGCAGAGGCTCGAGTTCCGGCTGGTGCCCGGGCAGCGTTATGGGCTGCAGGAGCAGGCCACGCTCAAGCCGCTGGACCCTGTGCTGTGTACTCTGCTGCCCCGGGGCTGGCAGCCCGCACCCCCACCGCCCTGCTGAGCGGGCCTGGGCTGGATGGGACTCCTCGGGCAAAGGCATCACGCCCACACTCCTCTGCAACCCCACTGCCACCCACCCCGCTCCCTTGCCCCCTTCCTCAGGGGCACCCTCCACGCTGGCTCCCAATGGGCCCCCTGCCAACCGCCACCTGCTTCGTACCTCCCCCTCCCCGCCAGAGCTCCGTGTCCCCTGCTAATTCCATGCCCTTCCTGGACTGGCCCCTGCCTGACTCCCAGCTGCCGCCCAGATGTGCCGTCTCTTACCCCGAACCTCTTCGCATAGGCCACTCCCTCTGCCACACACCCTAACTCTTGCTCACTTCCTAAAACCCTCTTCAGGTGTCACCTCCTCCAGGAAGCCCTCCCTGCCACCCCCGGCCGGGCCAGGGGCCCCTCCTCTGTGCTCCCTTGGTCACCTGTGCTACCTCTAACACCACACTGACCACACTGTATTGTGAGTGTCCTTTGATGTGACCGACTGCCCTGCCAGGCTGGGAGCGCCTCATGGGCGAGGTCTGTGTATGATTCGTCTCTGAGCCCCCCTGGGCCTGGCACAGAGTCGATGCTCAATAAATATGTGTTGACTGCATGAATGAATGGCGAGACCAGGCCAGAGTACTCTGGCCTCAGTTGCTCATCCGGTAAACAAGAGCGATGTTGAGACCAGTCTAAGGGCTCATGCAGCTCTGGAAGCTGCCCCTGCTGATGCCCAGACATCTTGGGAGAAGACTGCCCAGGTTACCAGGAGGGTTCTGTGTTAGTAGAAGGCTGTTCCCTGTGTTGTATGCAAGACCATGTTCCTGTGTGTGGTGTGAGGTTGGGATTACAGGCAGGGATTGAAGAGCTTGATGTGACAGGGCCCGGGGCCCTGGGGCCTGTGTGGTCTAGTCTACTCCCAACAAGAGTGCTGATGCCCCAGAGGGCCTCACATAGGCTGGAGCCCCTGGGACCTCTCTTGGGGACAGCTTGATGGACCTGAGCACCTGGATGCCTGGCCTCACACCTGCTGGCATCCTCCCCACTTTCTGGCACAATGCTTCCCCTCCTGACCAGCTTGGAGGAGGCAAGACTGGAACTCTCACAGTGGGTGAGGTGGCTGGGTGAGGACATCATTCTTCCTCCCCAGGGCCTACAGGTGGCCAAGGGGCATTAAATGCTGGACTAGCCATGTCCTCTGGGCCCATCCAAGCAAAAGGATCCCCTGAGTTTCTCGTTCAGCACTTGGGAGCTTGTCTTCCTGCAGAGAAAACCAAATGCCCCAAGCCCACTGCCTGGGGTACATGCCCCAGAGAGGGCCCCTCTCCACACCAAGGAGGGTATGGATTTGGGCTGGCCCTTGCTTTACATCAGCTCCTCAGTCCTTGTGCACTCTTGAACTGAGAGATCTTCTTATTTACCAGAAGAGGAAATTGAGGCTCAGGGGAAGAAGTGACGTGCTCAGTACAGGTGGGTATATTGTACCAGGGTGGAGCTAGGTCCCCGGCCTAGGCGGGTCATGGGGACTGGTACCAGTGGTCTGCCCTGGCCTCTGGGCAGAGGCTCCAGCCTCCAGGGTGTAGCTGCAGATGCCCTGCAGACTGAGAGTGCTCCCGCTCCCTAGCCCTCCGCCCACACTGAGCACTGGGCGAGGCTCTTCTCAAGCTATACTCCCACACTCTCCTTTTCCAGTGCCCTGTCTGAGGGGCCCCCAGACCCTCCTGGGGCTCTGAGAACAGTGTGCCTCGGCTCTGCCTCCAGCTGCCTGGCCAAACCCACCCGTTGCTTGTCTCTGCTCAGCCCAGAAGTGGTCCCTTCCCATGGCCACTCAAAGGCCACTGTTTCCTCTCGTCTCCCTGGGCCCTCAGCCTTTCATTGCTCCCAGGGACTGTCCTGCTGGGGCCCCTAGGCCCCACCCTCTGTAGCCTGTCTCTGAGGTTCACCAGCCCCCTGCAGCCCTCCAATAACCCCACAGCAGCCCCTACCCTACAAACTCCATGGCCCACACATGCCCTAGGCACCTCCCACTAGCCCCCCACACCAGACCCCCCAGTCTCCACCAGCACCCCCTGCTCCATGCCCTGCTTCCTGCCATGGCTAGGCTTGGTGCCACAGGATAGAACTTCCTTATTATCCATCTAAAAGGTCCACAGGCTACCAAACCTCAGCATTCCAGGGGCGTGACCTGGCGTTGGGTCTGGAGGGGTCAGCTCCCACTGGAAACTTCAAATTGCCTTTACCATCCTCTGACTTAGCAGATACCTATCCATTGCTGAGCCTGAGTCTTCACATCATTATTTCTTCAAATCCTCCTGAGTATGACCCATTTCACAGATGAGAAAGTCAAGGCCCCAGCACACAGCCAGGCCATAGCGGAGTCAAGACCCAAACCTGTAGCCCTTTGCACTCAGTGACCTTCCACCAGCTCAGCAAGCCCTGTCGCTGAAGGCCTGGGCTTGCCTCTGAGCACTTTAAACCCAGGCTGGAGGCCTGAGGTGAGTGGGAAGAGCAGAGCCTGGCTCCCCCACCCCTGCTCTGCTGTCACTGTCTGTGGGTCAGTGCACCCATCCTGACCTTCCTGAGCCACTTTCTCCTGTAAAAAGGGCTTTCTGGGACTGAGCAGGTGGTTCTCAGCCCTCGCTGCATTGATGAGTCACTTGGGCCAGCTGGATCAGCCTTTGGGGCAGGACCCCGAAACTTTTCTTAAGCCCCCTGGGGAGACTCCAATGTGCACAAGGATGGTGGCAACCCTTAGGATCCAGGCAAGATGGATGGGATTGAAACCAAGGCCCTGCAGCCAGGCTTCGTGGGATCAAATCCCACCTGCACTGTCACTGTTTGTGTGGCTTGGGCCTCAGTTTCCCCATCTGTAAGGGAGGGCGGATGATAGGAGATCCTAAGATTGATGGGAGAACTAAGAGCGTTCTGCATAGATCGTACTTAGCATAGAGCCTGTCGCGACAGTGCTGCAGACCCGCCAGCAGTAACTGTCAATGGCCTGAGCATCTCCGTTGCTTGTTACCCTTACGGAAGGGAGGGAGGCCGGGCAGTGCAGTTCCCAGAAGAGCCACTCGGTGGCGCCCCGGCGCAGCGCTCGGGTCGGAGCGGCCGCGGCAGCCGAGGGGGCGGTGCCTCCCCATCCCGCGGGGACCGGAGGCCCGGAGGGGGCGGGGCCAGGCGCCGGTGGCCGGTCTGGAGCGCCCGCAGGCCACTCGGGTGAGGGTAGGCAGGGGGGCGTCGCCATCTCCATGTCTCATGGTGGGGCCGCCGAGGCGCGGCGAGGCGCGGCAGCGCGTGGGGCGCTAGAGGGACAGCCACGCAGGCGGGCGTGGCGAGATCGCGACCTCTCCTGGCGCTGGGCTGGGTCTGGCGGTGGGACGCCGGCGGGTCGGGGGGGGGGGGGGGGGAGCTTTGGCCAGAAAAGCCCCGCGGTGGAGAAGCTCACTGAGAGCCGGGCAGTGGTGCAGGCGCCTTCCTCCTGCCTGGGAGGGCTGGGTGGCGGGGGGTGCCACCTGACTCCTCCGGGCTGAGCTGCCCTAACACTTAACGTGCTCTTGGCTGAACTGAAGCCACCTCCAGTGCCCGCTGCACCAGGGTCCTGGAAACTGGTGATGAGGGGTCCTCCGGGGTGGCTTGTGGCCAAGGTCGGGCTGGTGGTTGGACCCGAGAGCCTTGGCCTACCCTGGCTGCGGGTGAGAAGCTTGGTACAGCCGTGGGAGGCGGGAGGTTTTCTTCCCTTCTGCTCTGCACGCTGGGACAGCAGGCCGGCTCTGGAGCCACCTAGTGGCGCTGCTGGGCCTCAGTGGCAGCCAGTGTGAGTGGACAGAGGGCCACAGTGAGCTGCCCACCTGGGCAGGTTCTGGATGGAGCTTGGCCCCTCCTGATTGTCTTGGCCAGTCAGGCATGGTGTCCAGAGTTTGGTAGGTCCAGCCCAGGTGGACCTCACAAACAGTATGGGTGTGTTTCCTGGCTGATCAGTGAGAGGGAGGTTAGCCCCCAGGAGGGGACCTCAGGGCAGGGGCAAGAGGGGCTCAAGCCAGTGGCTCTTGCCTCATTTCACCCCCTCTGCAAGGACATTTGCTTTCCTCTGGGGCAAGAATCCTGCCTCCTAAGCAGGCTTCCTGATGAGTGTGTGACCCAAAGGAGGTTCTCACCCCCCTGGGGTGGATGACTCCTAAATCCACATGTCTGCCCAGACCTCACCCTGGGCTCCAGACAGCCTTGGACATCTCTGCCTGGACGTCTAAATATAACCCGAGCTGGGGGGAGGGGGCAGACCCTGGGGGTATTTCTGGCAGGGGAGGGAGACTTACTGCCGGAGGGCCATTTCTCTGAATCAGGGCTGGGGTGGGCACACATGGGGTCAAGGCCCTTCCTTGCCCTGGAGCTTTAGAAACATTTGTATCTCCCAGAACACAGCCTTCCCTGCACTTCCTCCTCACTTGGGGATACCATGGTCACCACCCTGGTGTTGCCCACCTTAGGTAGTCCCTGCTGGTGGGCCGGACCCTGGGCCAGCCAGGCAGAGTCGTCACCACCAGCAGGAGGTAGCCAGGGGCAAGTGCACCAGTCCCTTCGGCGGTATTCCAGAGCCCCAACCCGGCTGGCAACCCCCACCCTGCTGTGCCAAGCTCCCTAGCCTGCCCTGGAGGAGGCTCCATGGGCCTCAGGACAGTGAGGCCAGGCAGGGGCAAGGGGGACACTGGGGCCTTCCGTGCAGGAGCCTGGCCTCCCAGGTGGGGTGTGGAAGGTCCCAGGGTCAATGCAGGGCAGGCAGAGGTAAAGGACTAGACTCCCCTCCCTGTTCCCTCTCTCTGGGCCCAGCTCCTCTGCTGGCTTTGGCTTTGGGGGCCAGAGGGGGACGATGACAGCAACTCGAGCAGGGCTCCTCTATCCCCTGCCCACGGGGAGAGCCCTTATCTGAGACTCTTGGGTGGCCCTGGGACCCCGGGTGAGGAGGAGCCCAGATACCATGATGATGCTGATGATGCACCCAGTTCACCACTGAGCATCCACTGCGGCCAGCCCGGAGCCCGCTGTGCTGTAACCCCGGCCCCAAGAGGTGGGGCCTTCCCCTCCCTGGGGGGCCTCAGCCCTGCTCTGGGCCCCAGAGCCTGAGGAGGAAGCCAGAGCATCCCTACCAGCTCCGTGTCCCCTGAGCCACCCCCACCCCTCACACCCCCCAAATGACGGCGGCTCCTTGGCCCCCACCCAGAGGTGAGGGTATTGCCCGAAGGACCCAGGAGCGACCCCCGCCCTCACACCCCAGGGTCACCTCGTGCAGCTGGACAGGGCTCTG